GAAGCAAGGCACCACGCACCAAGCAGCGCCTAGCTGGGCTGCGTGCGTGTGTGTGCTGGGCATCAAGGCACCATGCACCAAGCAGCGCCTAGCTGGGCTGCGTGCGTGTGTCGTGGCTAGTGATAGCACAAGGCATGCATGGCTCGCTAGCAGCACGCATGCCATAACTGGCCATGCGAGGCACCCCAAGCAGCAGTTGGCTATGCGTGCTAGGCCAGGCATAGCACCAGCGCCCAGCACACGCATCATGGTCAGCAGCCCGCATAGCGTGCGTGGCTTGCTGGCTGCGCATATGCGTATGCTGGCTGGCATACTAGCACAGCCATGCTGCTAGGGGCCAGCAAGGCAGCCTAGACAGCCATGGCTGGCCAGCAGCCAGCTGTCCCAGCCACCCTTTTGCTAGGATGGTGGGGACCACTTGCTTGTTGGCTTAAAGGGAGGGATTGCAAATGGTCCCCCCCCCTTGGTTGGTTAGTAAGAAGGGAAAAATGAGTTGGTCCCCCCCTTGGGGTGGTCCTCATTTTCTCTCTTCTTCCTCATGCCACTTGTTGCTTTATGATTGATTTGTACAAAATGAAATTCTCCCACATTGATCATGAATGGGGAGTTCAAGGTTCAATTCCCTATAAATACCAAGATTTTGGCATTTGGGAAGAACACTTGAGTGGAGCTAAAAGGGCATCTCCTTGGATAAGTGAGAAAACCCTAAGTTCGTAAAACTCTAGTTTTCTTGGTCAGGTCTTGACTAACCTTCGAGACTTGGACCGATCGGGTTGGGTTCGTGGGTACGAGCCGTCGGAGACCTTGCATTTGCGGGGTTCAAGTAAGAGCTCGGTTTACGAGCGAAGCACGCGTCAAGGGTAAGAATGTCTTTTCTTTCTCTTTTTAATTTGTTGTTTAATTAGTGATTGCATGCTTAGTTGCCTAAATTAGTGGGCGGGTCTTGGGCGGGTTTCTCTTCCGCGTAGAGTCGGACTCTACGAAACCCAACATGGATAGCCCTTGAAATTATCTTTCCAATGATATATTATAATCCTAATTTCGATAAGAAACGAAAAAGATATGATTAAAATTGAAGGATTTATGTCTTCGTCAAGTGTAATTACTAGATATATAATGGATCAAATTATGGAAATAATTAAGTTCGTCCATTTGGGTCGTCGTTATATCATAGCTAGAGGTACTAACGATCTTTGGGCTAGTAAAATAAGCCAAAGCCTAATTGGACAGATCCTATAAGGTCACACAAAGGGCCTAGATTAAGCATAAGAGAACGAGGCCCGTGATGGACCTCATCCCCCAGGTGGCCAGCCATATGGAGGTGTTTAGGAGGGTTTGGGCTTTGCTTCTAGTATAATTATAATAGGATTATAAATAGACTAGGTGCCTAGGGTTGAAAATACAATTCATGGTAAGTGATGAGATCAAACCCTAATTGGCAAACACGAAAACCAACCCCCTCAAACTTTCCTTCTCTCACACGGCTCTCTCCTCCTCCCTAGGCTCTGGTGGTGGTGATTGCGGTTTTCCCTTTCACTCGACCAATCTAGCATTGGTGGATGCTTGTACTAATCCCGTGGACTAGTTAAGTAGAGGAGTCACGCTTGGGGCTCTATTATCTCCCTGGTTTGTCAATCGAATAGCTACGTGGAATTCACGCTTCAAAGGTATAATTACGTGGTTCTTGTGTGTTATGCTTGTGATCCCGATTTAAGTACATATGAATATGATTCATGAAATTCCGCTTATAGTACCTAAAGTCCTACAGTGGTATCAGTTAGCCTCTTGCATGAACACGCTTGATTATAATAATATGATTACTTGAAGTCCATGTTCATAATTTTATAATCAATTAAGAGGAAGATATTAATTTAATTATGGTTCAATTATTATATTAAATATGATTTAACTCTTGGAATTGATTAAATATGATTTAATTTTCTCAAAATAGTCATAAAGAGGACCGATTTTTGCCCTAAATTGATTCGAAATTTTCGAACCCTAACGCTATTTTATTCGAAATTTTCAAACATAATGAGCCATAGAAATCCAATTTTGTGTGCTTGTTTTGCTCAATTTCGTTTTAAATATGTTTCATAATTTTAATTAGATTGATTTGTGCATAAAAATGTTTGTGTATAATCATCAATTTAATTTTAAAATTAAATTGGGATTAATTTTATGAAGAACCCTAATTTTAAAATTGAATAGGGATTTAATTTTAATTTTGAACAGATTTAATATAATTTTACAAAAGTTGTTTTATTAAATTGAAAAAAAAAGGTTTTAAGTGGTCGGCTGCCACGGCTGGGTGGCGCAGCCACGGTGGCTGCCGACCGGTGTCAGTCCAAGAGGGAGGGAAAGGAGGGCAGGCGGTCTGGGGTGGCTGGGCAGCAGCCGTGTAAGCGCTGCACGCTGCTGCCGTGGCTGCCACTGCTGTTGCTCGCTGCTACCCTTGCGACAGTGGCTACTATAAAGCGGCCAGCCACCGTGGCTAGCTTTGGCTAGTTAACCATGGTGGCCAGCAACCCGTGCAGTTTGGCTTTTTAAAAAAAAATGTTTTAAAAATATTTCGAAATAAAATCAGATTTTATTTTGGCAATAAAATCAAATTTTCAATAGTTGTTAAATTTGGTGATTATCCGTAATTAAAGTGGTTAATTTTGAATAAAATTAGTTAGGATATTTTGAGCATATTCCAAAATGATAATAATTTATTTAAATAATGTGATTATCCCATAATTAGATTAGGAATTAATTAATTTTAAAATTATTTGTTTGGCTAGTAATTAGGATAGAATCTCCTAAATTAGTTAGGAAAATCACAGAAAATAAATATGATTTATCCTTCCATATTAAAATAAGATTTGATTCTATCTCATGACATATTTCAATAATATGATATTTTATGGATGGCAATGAATAATATACGATTTTATCTAATTATGATTAAAAATATGAGACATTTTAGAAATCGTGTTGCCTTATTATGAACGATCTTTTAGTTTAGGCAAACATGTTGAGTGATTTATTATATGGCACTTTTATATAATATATGATATTATGTTGCTATATATAGACTAGTATGGCCCATAGATTCTAAATATGATCTGCGCATCGTGACGTATTTTTGTAATCTAGATACGATCTGCGTATCGTTAAGTATTTTTGTAACTTTATTTAAAGTAAATATATTAGTTATTTAAATAGTTTATTCCAAAGAAGCCCATGAAGTGAAGGCCCAAAGGAGCAAGGTGGATGGAGATCCATGAAGGTTCAAGTGGGAGCTTTTCAATTCTAGTTTTCTTAAGACTAAGGGGTCATACTATGTCATGTTTTATTTATACATTAGTAGATCATGCATGTTAGATTTTATTGATGTCTGTGATGATGCGCTAGAGTTCACTAAATAATCACAACATAATAAATCTAGGTCCCGGTAATATTGAGATTGCCTTTTCCAATTAGATACCCAACAACCCTTCAATCGTAAGTGATGGGTTTGCCTCCGCAGGGTGTCACTTGTTATCTTAGGTAATTTGGGGTAGATCACGTTCTACACATTTAATTGGTTGTGCTCAACAAGGTTACCTAAAGCGTTTAGAACCTTGAAGCAAAGGGTAATAATTAAACATGTGATGGTTAATTATTCAACCAAGAGTTACAAGAGTTGTAATCAGTAAAGAGTTTACTCACCTTGAAAATGTAATGCTTGATGGTAGGGCCTCAGTCCGGTTAAGTATTACACAAATAAAGGATCTTGGAATCACTTAATTTAAATGTGACCATTTTATATTGAATAAAGTGCTTTAAAGTAACCTATTTAATTCGTTTATGGTTCTTTAATTTTAATTAAACATAATTATTAAACTTTGCCTTATTGTGTAATAGATGGGTAGCCGTAATAATAATGACAACAATATTTACAACCTTCGACCATTCCTTAAGAAGGATAGGTTGACAGGAGACAACATTTCCAACTGGAAAAGAATGCTGAGACTTTCGAAGGGTCTCTCGGTGGATCCTACATGTCTTTTCTGTCGTTCTGAGGCAGAGACGGCCACTCATCTCTTTCGTGACTGCCCTGTGGTTAGTCAACTCTTGGTGAATGGTCCTTTGGGATTGGATAGTACTCTTCTTTACTTTAAGCCCTTCGCACTCTGGTTTACGGACTCAATTTCAGCCTTTAGACATGATCGGAATTGGGATGGACTAGTGTCCTTTGTCTGTTTCTTCTGGGCCGTCTGGCTTACTCGTAACCACGGTATTTTCAGACAAGCAGTTTGGTCTCTTTCCTCTATTCTCCACCTTTCTGAGGAGTAGATTCTTCGTAGCTCCCAAGCTAGGATCTTTCGAGATCACGTCTCTTCTACACCTCGGCTCCATTCAAGCTCGGTTTCCCCCTCTACGACTTACTGTCTTCGGGGAACTTCTACGGATACCGTGGATTGTTGTGTTGATTTTTGATAGGGCTTGGTGTTCTAGTGACAATAGTGCTGGTGCTGGATGGATCTTTAGGGAGGTTTCTTCGGACCGAGCGTTAGGTGGTACGGTGAGAGCTGGTAGATCTTCATCGGCCCTTCAAGCTGAATTACAGACGTGTTTGTGGGCTCTTAAGTCTGCCATTAGCAAGGGTTTCCATCGTCTTCTCCTTTATTCGGATTGTTTGGTTCTGGTTTCTCAGCTTTCTCGGGATTCGATGAAAGATATCAGTTGTGTGTGGCTTTTTCAGGAAATTCAGGACTGTCTACCTCAATTTTCAGTCTGTCGCATTCAGAAAGTTCCTCGAAATTGGATCGCCCCTGCACATTGGCTGGCTACTAGGGCTCGTCGTTGACAGCTTCTTTTTTTGGAATTTTAAGTTTAGTTGTTAATTTGTTTGTTAGTGATCTTTGTCATAAAAAAATAAAAAAATAAAAATTGAAAGTTGTCATTCTTGGCAACGTATATTAGTATAACACCAAGTCACCAACAACAGCGCAAAAGGAAAGAGAGACAAAAATTAAACAAATAAACAAAATAATTAAAATAAACATTCATTTAAATTCGAATCCAAATTACTTTTTTTCTGTAAAAAACAAAAAAAAATTCCTCTTTCTTCTCCACTTCCAGCTTAATAGCTGCCTGCAAGTCGTTAGAGAGAGAAAGAGGTACAGAATTGCTTCTAAGAGAAGATTTTGTCTTTTCACAGAAAAAAAATAAATAAATAAATAACCCAGAAAAAGTAAATTTCCACTACTATATACTTGAAAATTTATTTTCTGGGTTTTTTGCGTGTAGTGTCAAATGGGTATCAATTTCTTTTCTGCGTTTCTTTAATTTTTGTGAAGAAAAATTCATTCTTTTTGTGGGATAATATTTAAAAAAAAAAAAAAATTGAGAGTAAAATTTTAAGAGGACAGAAAAAGGGATATGGCGTTGGGGTCTATATTTTGCTGCGGCAAGGTTTTCGATCGGTATGTTTCTATTTATTTATTTATTTATTTATTTTTATGTATGTTAATGCTTTTTTCAGTTTTAATTTTGGAAATTTAGCTAAAAATGGTACGAAATTATTGGTGTTATTTGCAAAATGATATGAAATGAGCTCTTTTTATGTTACTGTATAATTTAGTTTATCAATAATCAAGACTTTGAATTACATGAAATGAAATTAATTAATATGTTATATGTTTGTGCTCTGGCAATTATTTAACCATGTACTATTAAATGTAGCTAAATTGATGTAGCAATTACTTAACTGTTCCAAATGATGGTCTTGTTAAGTTAATGTTTTTTTAAGCTCAATTTGCAAGTAATTATTGTTACAGAGACTAATTATTGTAATAATTGTCTTCAGAGATTAATTATTATTTGTAGATGAATTCATTTATATTTTGTCAAATTGTTAAAATACTCTAGAAAATTGTACAAAATTATATGGGTTATAATTTTAGTTTGTGACAAAGCTTGTTTAATTAGTCTGTTGTTGGTCTATTCAATGAAAGAGGTTTGTACTTGACAACTTGTTGCCCCTGTGCTCCATTTTGTTAAATAGTAGTGGTTTTTGGGATGTTTGAGTGATTTTTGGTTAAATATATGGAATTTGGTGTGATAAAGATGATACAAATAAAAACAGGATGCTTAGTTCATATTCGTAAGAGCGAAAAATTCCACTCGCTCTTAACGAAAGAATGGGGGGTTTGTGGGATGTTTGGGAAAATAGTGGGGTGGTAGTGAGTGGGTGGATGAACCAGGAGTTTCTCTACATAAAAGATCATTTTATTGAAAATTATTTTTTGCATATGAAGTGAAGTATGAACATGTCAATATGATCTTAAGTGTGTGTGTATTGTGTAATGAATCGACCTAAGAGGAGGGGATGAGAAGTATTTTAGGTGGTGTATAATAAATTAATAAGTACGTTAGGATCAGCTAGAAGTTGCTCTAATAATAAGAGAAGATTAGGGAGAGATCATTATGATGATTGCTGATGAGAGTTCTCATTTAGGTTTATTTTTAAATTTGGGAGAGTGCAAGCCTCTCGAATGCGGCTTGTGCTTATCTGTTACTTGTTCACATTTCCAGTTCTTCAATCATAATCACCATATTTTCGCATTGAATCAACATCACTAAATCTATCCAGCTATGTGAGTTCATACCAGTATGCGTGGGATGATATTTGAGCTTAAGATGTTCTGTAGAAGCTTCTTCCCCTTCTGTGTGTATATAGTTAAAGTCTGGTAGGTAGTAATTTAACTTCTCTTTTTTCTCTAACTTGTCTGCTTAGGATCAATATGGTTTCTTGCTTTCTTCTCCTCCCCTTCGAAAATGTATTATCCAAAAACACTTGTTCTTGTTTTCTGCTTGCAATGGCGTTGAATGTTAAATGTTGGTCTAAAAACTTTTGCAGGAAAAAGAAGGAAGAAAATAAGGCAGCATGGAGGATATTTTCTTTAAAGGAATTGCATGCAGCTACAAACAATTTTAACTATGATAATAAACTTGGAGAGGGTGGATTTGGAAGTGTATACTGGGGTCAGCTATGGGATGGTTCGCAGGTAATGCAGGGCTTTGCTAGTTTGCTCTTATTCTCCTTTGCTGAGAATGCAAGTGGGATGTTTTGAGTTGAATTTGTGGTAGTCTATCTACTAGTATTACTTATCTGCTACAGCATGCTGTTATATTGGCATATAAGTTTAAATATTCAGAGTTGTCAGTCTTGTTTTTGAAATTCCTAGCTAGCACCCGGTTGTACTAACGCCTTACTTGCTTTGGTGTTTCAATTTAGAAGTCTGTCTTGTGAGTTTATTTATAAACTTAAAATATGCTTGTATAAGCCATGTTATATAAAGCCTTACTGACCAACCCCTGTTACTGCTACAGCATCATTCAACATATTGTTAGTGATTGACCTGATTGTATTTTGTATTATGGGTGATGGAAGGGGATTAGTAGGAAAGGTGGAAAATAAAAAACCTATGTGTGTGAAAACTGTCATATTGCTTTTATATTTGAAAAGCATACAGCTAAAAGTCCTAAGATTGAAAAAGTTGCATGCTGGCTTTTTAACTGGAGAATTAATGGTTGACAGTTTCAATTGGCATGTTGGATCAGTGCATTTTCTTGTGATTTTTCCATTAAAACAAGAAGGGCCTGGTCTTGTGATGCTCAGTCTGGGCTGCGGGAAAACGTTTTCATGATTCTATGCATATAAAGTGTCGCAAACTCTATGTTTCTTCCCTTGAGTAAATATAGTCACCCAAAGTTCTCTCTTTCTTCTTCCCTAGTCCTTCAGACTCTTTACTTGTATGAAATCAGGTGTTTGAAATGAGTTTCTGGGTTAAATGTGTAGACAGTGGGTTAGTTCAATGGTTTGGGAATTTGTGGACGGAAGAACCATAAAGTTATTCTAAGCAACACCACCTCATCTTTAGTGAAATGTTTTGGGAAAAATGGAAGGGTATGCTTCTCTGTGCTTCTTCACTAGGATGCTGCAGAGTTATTCAGAAGAACACAAAAGTCTTTCACTTCTTCCTATAAAATATTTTCAACAAATCACACTAATTTTCAATTTTCTCAAGCCCATCCAAAAGCTATTGTACTCCACTTGCCATTTATTATTATTTTTTTCACTTTTTGATCAGTTGATGTAAGCATTTTGCTTGCTCTTACTTACAGATTCACTTATCTGGTTATTTGAGCTCAATGGGAGTGCAGAATATGGTTCACATTTTTGGTGAAAATTATAGTTATAAAAGGAAGCTTTTAAAGAAATATGTCTTGCAAGTGTGCTAGATTGAGATTTGATTGATGGAATTAATTTCTGCGTTATCAAACATGAATAAGCCCCATGGCTAGTCAGAGAGAAAAATAGAGTACTACCTTGTAAGTGATGAAAATCTTTGGGATGATTACTTGTGCACAACCTTACCCTAGAGAAGGCTAATGAACTGTTGTGTATGTTTAGGGGATGATTTACTCTGCGTAGGTTGATTGAATGCAGAAAACCTTCCTTGAGAAACTTGAATTGTAGGCCGGAAGATATGAGAACTTGTTCCACATTGGAAAAATGGGACAAGTGCCTAGTGCTCTATGCTCTTGGAATACAAATATGGTTTTTGCAAAACTTAGTCCCCTTTTGTCGTTGGGCCTACGCCGTAGTATCAAATTTGCTAGCCATTTTACTGTGTCTCTTAATGAAGTAGATACAGTCATCCCATTCTTTCTATGTGAGTCAAGTCACCCGATCTTCTAATTGCATAGTTTGGATTTTGGTAATAATTCTACAGTGTTGCCTAAATGACCATGAATTTGTTTTGGGCCCATAACTAATAGGCTAGCAGGCATGGCAGTGTGTCAGAATAGGTAAATAATGGAAGATGGTCGGTTGGAGACCTGTACTGTTTCATATGATGCTGTCACTAGTCTGTGATATTACTCTAGAATTGGAATTCAAACTTCTCCTGTGCAGAAAGCAGTATGTAGTGTAGCTTTTTCGTTGAGTCAAAGTTCTTTATGAATTAGGAACTTATGATGTTCTGACAATAGTATTGTTTAGCAATCATGCTAACTTGAGGACCTACTGTGGTGGCTGATGGATGTTCTGTTGATAATGTGGCCTGATGTGTCATTCCAACCTGAAGATGCAGGTATTGGAATGACTGACTGAAGCCCGAACTTTGATTCCACTTAGAAAAATAAAATCATCTTCACTGAGTTATTGAAGCTTGATATGAGAAAAATGAAGTCATGCTATTAAAATTAAAACAGATATATTGCAATTACTTGCTCATGTTGTCAGACATGAGCTAAAATTGACGAGTTGCTTCAATGCCACTTTTTTACTCTTCTTATTATCTATGATCGCTGCAACCTAGTATAGTTGTTTTTAAATATTTTTGGATGCTGCAGTTGTTTTATTACATCAATATTGGGATCTCTTTTCAGATTCCAGGCATGGATTTCAGAGAGTTGTGTTTATAGTTTATACATAACACATTTATGTTTGTACTCCCTCTGTCCTAAAGATATTGTCCACCTTTTATTTTTATTTATTTATTTATTTATTTATTAATTTAGTTTTCCCTGTTTATTGTCCTCTTTGGTTAGTGGGTGCATTTTTTATCCAATCATATACTTCGTATATTTTTCTTCTATACTATCGATTAGATTCAATTTAATATTTATACTCAACATTTTATAACAGCTAACATGGACTATTCTTGGGATGAATGGAGACTTCTTATTTACTTGGCGGCTTGTATTTAGTTGTTGGTTCTGCTGCCTGTTCTTTTGTCCTCATTTCTCAGTATAGTGTAATTACAATATTACTGAGTGATGATTGTTGTTTGCAGATTGCGGTTAAAAGGTTGAAAGTTTGGAGTGATAAAGCAGAATTGGAGTTTGTTGTTGAGATTGAAGTTTTAGCACGAATACGCCATAAAAATTTGCTAACTCTGCGTGGCTATTGTGCTGAAGGACAAGAGCGACTCATTGTGTATGATTTTATGTCTAATTCAAGCTTATTATCCCATTTGCACGGACAGCATTCTGCAGAATGTCTTATTGATTGGAAAAGAAGGATGAACATTGCCATTGGATCTGCAGAGGCAATTGTGTATGTCACTTGATCGTTTATTCAAACTAATGTCTCTTGTCCTATTCTGTCCTCCTTTCCCCTGATTTCCTCTCTTTAAAAAACCTCACGCTTGGCTTATTGCAGATACTTGCACAATCATGCAACACCACATATAATCCATAGAGACATTAAAACTAGCAATGTTTTGCTAGACTCTGATTTTCAGGCAAAAGTTGCTGATTTTGGGTTTGCCAAATTTATTCCGGATGGTGCAACGCATGTAACCACAAGGGTGAAGGGCACACTTGGATACTTAGCCCCTGAATATGCCATGTTAGGGAAGGCATCAGAGAGTTGCGATGTATATAGCTATGGAATTTTGCTGCTGGAAATTGCAAGTGGCAGAAGAGCTCTTCAGAAACTGAACTTGACATCAAATCGCTCAATCACTGACTGGGCTCTTCCATTGGCCCGTGAGGGGAATTTCAGAGAACTAGCAGACCCGAAACTGAATGGAAATTTTGTTAAAGATGAGCTGAAAAGATTAATCGTGGTTGCTCTCGTGTGTGCTCAGAAAAAGCCCGAGAGAAGACCAACAATGCTCGAGGTGGTGGAGCTTTTGAAGGGAGAAGCCAAAGATAAATTAGCCAATCTAGAAAACAAGCTGTTTAAGAGTTGGCGATCTGCTGATGATAAAGATGAGATCAGAGAAGATAAGGCAGACTCTATATCAGAGAAGAAAGACGATACTCCTAAACCTGAATCTAAAGTCGCAGAAACTGTACAAGAGGACAAAGATGTTGATTCTAAATCAGAATTTAAAGTTGCAGAGTCTATATCAGAGGAGAAAGATGATACTCCAAAACTGGAATATAAAATATCTGATTCTGGATCCGAAAGTGCACAGGAGCGCTGAGGGAACGTTTAGAGTGAGTATACATGGCGTCATGTCCTTAAAAGTTCGTGTTTAACTGTCTACAATGTTGAATATGGCTCTCTTGACAGGAAGTAGTAGCACAACTTCTGGTTGCTAGTTTAGTAGGTTTACTCTGGGTTGATATATTGATGCTCTAGATATGCTTGTGCCAGATCTTTGTTCTGGTTTATTACTTTTATTGTACGGGTTTGCCTAATGCATTTTCCTTCATCCTTCTCGGGCTTTCCTTTCTTCTTTTCTTTCGTGTGCTGGAGTTTTCAACACTAATCCTGCGTGTTTGTCTTTGGGGTGAGATAGAATCTTTGAGTCTAACTGTATATGAGCTTTGTTACTATTTTTCTGAGTTGTAAATTTTGGTTTTTGCTTACTGTTTCTCAACTATGGTATGAATGTGTCTTTGAATGTCCAATTTGTGATTTGCATTTGCTCACTTTGCTTACTTTTTCTCAACTTTGCTCACTTTATTTATTCCAGCAAAACGTCTCATACTTCCTCTGTTTTTTTAAGTTGCATCACTTTGCCGTGATAGGTGGTTAGGTTGGTGGGGGTGGTTTTTTATTTAATTTTAGGTGTTTGGTGGTTCAAGGGAGGGGGTTCAGGCATGCCGCCGTCGCTGGCACTGGGGTTAGGGGTCTGGGTGACCGGAGGTGGTGGGAGTGGGGGTCAGGGCGGCGGGGAAGGCTTGGGCTGGTGGTGGTTTTTAAATAATTAATTTTATTTATTTTTTCTTTTAAAAAAAATTTAACTTTTTTTAAAATTTATTTTATTTTATTTATATTTTTTTGACAAATTACAGGACGACATGTGTCAAGTAACTTGTTATAATAAGTTACATGACCGATTAGGACCCTTTTTGAGCAAATTGATATCAAAGGGGATTATTTAAAAATAACCCAAAGGTGAAATTATTTTTAACAAACGTTCTAAAGGTAGGATTATTCCGCGCAATTTTTCCTAAATTTTATTTGTTTTCCAACTGAACTCCGATAGTACCGTAGTAGTACTCTATTTTTCGGTATGTAATATACCTGATCGCCCAATTTCACTAGTTGCTAAAAGATTGTTGTTTAGACTTTATAGTCTTTTAATTTGGGAAAATTTCACCTAATTTCCCATACAAACATAAAGGCAATAAACCAAATTCAAAATTTTCCGTATTCATTTATGTACAGCTACTATAACCAGTCACGAAGTACTACACTTGCTGTATTTTACATGTATTCAACAAAACGATACAAGCCTGAAGGGCTAATTCTAGAAAAAAAGGTGTCAAATCAAATGGTGAACTAACTCATACTAACTCTGGAGGGTAAATGCGAAGAATTAAGTAAAGGTGTCCTCTCTGTCTCCTTCTGCAATATCAGCATCCTCCATGTTGCTGAACTCTAAGTAGTGTGTAGGGCGATGCTCTTCATGGTAATACTCTTTAGGAGTCCCAAGCTTGACTCCGTATTTCATGCTAGGGGTGTGCTTAACCCCCATGAAATTATAGTTCCAAGGACCACTATCAGGAGTCTGAAAAAGAATAATTCAAAGAATAAGCACCATAAAAATATTCTAACAGGAATTTAATTATCATAATCTGCTTATAAAAAGATTTTACAAACTTATCAAGAGCTTACCATATAGAAGCCAAGGAACCGATCACTTAGCAGCATCTGAACCTTCTCGTAATGAGTAGGTAGATAGCCATGGGGATTGCTGCCATTATCTTTATTTGCACGTCCCCACTCATATCCTGACGGGGTGAGCTTGTAGGCAGTCAGTGAACAAGAACCAGGAGTAAAACTGCAAGTAAGAATGATGCACTTCTCCCCGTCCCACTGCTTGTTGCTCTCCAAAATACGAGCATGACTAGTTACATCCTGCATTTGAAAATTGGTCAGGTTAAAGATGAAGTGGGAATTTTAAAAATATAACGTCACATGGGATGAAACCTAAGAATATTAGAGTACCTGAGGTGATAGCTGAGGAAGTTCGTTTGGCTGTGTATGCATCCACCCCAAAGGTTCCAAGTCATTCAAGAAATCATGCTCAGGCAACTGGGAAGGAAGATTGACCTGTTGATGAGTTCCCCATTGTGGTGGCATTGCAATGCAACGAATTTCTTTGACCTGAGGATTATCTGGGGGCTTACACCGTACAAGTAACCTGCAATCTGAGTCCTCAAATCTGCTATGCATATGAACTTCTTCAGAATGTTCTTTGGCATGATATATGTATATCCCGTTTCCTGTTTTGAAAAAAATACAAGGTTCGTCAACACAGATCTCATCAAAGAATAGCAAATCCACGTGCAAATGTGCAAGCACAGTTTGAAAGAAAGAAGCATATATCTTTATTGGCTGAAAGATGGATAAGGAAAAAGGACACTAACCTTTATATCCTCCGAGTTTACATAAATATGATTCACACGCAGATAGAGATTTGTTGCAGATATTGCTCTGACACGCCAATCAGTCTTAGAGCTAAATGCTGCCTGCTCATAAGGACTTGTGGTGGTGACAATTAATTCCTCACCATGCACATTCGAAGTCTTCGTTGTAACTGCTGTCAATTGACTAGAGGCCTTTGCCTGGAGAATGAATCAGGGAAGGGGCACATTAGCAAAATGTTAAAGAAAAATTATCAAGTAGAAATGATAGGAGGGGAGGGTCAGGCAGATTTTAATGGAAACCACACAGAACAAAACCAAGTATACTTGCCTGCTTCTCAATCTCAGCAATCTGCTGTCTCTGTTGAGACGGAGGGGTAATTTCAGCCCCAAGGATGATATCACGTATTTCAGACTGCGTCAATGCCGAGGTGTTCACATTGTTCTTCTTGGCATAGTCAGAAAGTATGAGATCTCTCAAAGCAACTTCAACCTACATAAAATGACAAATTGAACTTAGTTGCATGTTAACTTGAGCTACTGCATACAACTCATATTGAACAAACTGTGACAATTTGCAAGCTCTTTCCTAGACACAAAAGGCAATAATCTAGCAAATTACCTTCATCCATTGATCATCGGTGAGGGAAGGCCAAATATGATGAGGTTCAGTGACCACAGTCCTGTCTGGCTTCAGCAACATCTTGGCCTTCTCATTGTTGACATGAAGTGCCCGGAGTATGAGGATAAGCCGAGAGAATGCAGTATATGAAGAAATGCTTTTCAACCAGTCATCATATATGTTGAACAGAACCATTTGTGGCTCTGTAGCCTTCAAGATGAGATCACCAAATTTCTCAATTTTTAAGCAGGCCTGGAAAGGAAGTTGCAGTTCACTTCCTTTGATAACTATATTTGGAAAATCAAGCAAATGGACCTCCAAAGGATCCAACATTCCTTTACGAGTCACAATAATCTGTTTTGGTTGTTCTTCAACAGGTAAAGACCGGACAAGGGCCGCAACTTCTTCAGCTGTTTTCCACTTGGCCAGCTGACCTAGACGCTTCTGTCCAGCCCACACACTAGTGTGAATAACCTGCCAAGAGATCAACAGTGTCAAAATCTCAGATGCAAGAAAAAGGCAAGGCGAAGTAAAGCCAAGTGATGTAAATATAATTAATAATCACAGGCCCGGGTCTTACCTTCAAAAACAGCTGTCCAGTCCGGGGATTAAATATGAATATAGCACCGTTGATGGGTTTTGTGGTAAGATTTCCTTCAAATGTTTTATGAATCGTCACACGATAGACATTAGTATCATCAACAAACCATATAATCTGATTACTGAATATCTCCCCATAATTCTGGGAAGACAGATAAGGCTCAGTAGGTTCAGAAGAGTACAGCTGAAGACCCTTCCTTATACGCTCTCTCAGGACATAAAGTGCAGGATTTGACTGCACACAAAAAAATACATATATCATCAGACAATTCTTAAAAGGTTCACAATTCAATCAGTAAATGATAATATACAAAATAAAAATTATAGCAAGTGCAAACCTTCATGATCTTGTTCATAGCTTGTGCAATCAGAGGTTTGGAACCAGGGAACCAATTGCCAAAAGCCGAATGCAAGTTGTAAGCCAAATCAAGAGCAATCATAACTCCCATGGGCGATGGATAAATGGACATGTTATCAGTTGTGTAGTCCAGGAACTTTGCTCGGGTGTACCGCTCAATATCATGAGAGTCATAATCACCCCAACGAAGCTGCACATCCACCCAGTATTTGTTGCTTGCCTTCTGGTCAAACACATCTTTTGTCTCTGCCACCAAACTCGGTTTCGACATCGGCCACCTATGAGCAGCAAACAGAAGAATATCTGCACAACTACTGTTCATTTTATAACTTTTTCTGGGATGGATTGTCTCCTTTTGAACCGTCTCAATTTCTAAAGCATCCAGCTCCTGATCCAGAACTTGACAAAGATCCATGACAACACTTTCATGGATCTTCTGCCATAAATGTGCACGGAATATCTGAATTAAAGATATCTTCAAAGTTGGAATCTTTCCATGCATGAAAATTCCAGTCAGATCAAGCTGAACTTGAAAACCCACATAGACATTAGCACGATTAATTGTAGGAGACCACCAGAGTGTAAATCTACGATTAGGAATCTGGTTCAAACCAGATCGTTGCGCATTAGTCAGCTTCTTATATTTCATGGACTCCTCAAAACCAGATGCCTTCTCCCAGAAGAGACCCTCCCATGTTGGAAAGTATGTTCCCTTGAACAGAGTATGCTCCAGAATACCTTCCACTCCCCCTAGAGCCTGAATGACATCAGTTCTGTAATTGTTCAAGTTCCAAAGTTTTCCATCGTGCCTCTGATGCGTCCACCAGAAAGGATTTTGCTTCAAAACCTGATATTGCTTGAAATCAGTACGAACTCTCCAACCTTTATCATATGCTAAAGTATGACGATCCTTCTGAAACAAGGTATTTATTCGAGGTATACCACGATCCCAAGAATCTTCCAGATCCTCCAGGGTTAAACGCCGATTCTGCGACTGTGCTTCTTGCCTCTTCAATGCATACTCAGCCCAAACACGCTGTGAATCAATGAACTCGCTCTCCCACGGCTGTATGTATCGGTAGAGATTCGGAATCAGCTGGTCCTCTTCATGGCTCATACCACTTCTGAAGTGGGTCACACCCACATCAGTTTGTCTACTGTAACGGAGGTCACTCTGTGGAATCAAAATGTGACCCATTGACAGCATTCCAAGCCCTCCAATTTCCTTCGGAGTGTAGAAGATGACAGGAGGAAACCTGCTAGGCATTTTGGAGTTTAATCCAATCTTAATACGAGTTTGGATTTTGTTCTCACACTTCACCAGCAAGTCTAAGAGCTCTTGTGTATGCACAGTTGCCTCACGGAAGTAAGTCATGAGACCAATAAGGGCAGTGTTCCATTTGTTGACTATTTTCGTGAAAGTCGTAGAACCAGAAGACATAAGAATTTGCCGCA